GATATCGTCGATCCACGACAAGCTTTGGGGCACACGCGGGGATCAATGGGTGCCCACAATATCTGATGGACCAGGGAGGACGAAGTACATCTCGATCACCAACGTCGGGGACGAGGTGTTGATCCTGCATCAAGACCAACGGATTGGTATTTGGTTGGCCGGGGATCATGTGCCGCGGCTACCAGGTTTCATCTTGATCGGGTCTCGTCGTTACATAGAGTGGCAGAATCTAGCGTTAGAAGCCACAACAGACGCTCGATCCGAAGATATGGGAATCGAAGCCCCGCTGGAGCCCGCGGTAGAGCGACCCGAGTACCAAACCCCGCACACAATACTCCAGAGGCCAAAGACGACGTCGATCAAGTGTCGGAATGTCGAGGCGAGTCAGGATCAAGATGTTCCGGACTGCTTGCCTTCGGACAACTCGCCGTCAGATAAGTCGTCGTCGGACAAATCAACGTCGAAGACTCGACCGTTGGATCTAGCGTCTGTCGCAAGTGAGGAGTCAGATCTGTCGTCTATCGCAGATGGAGACTCTATATCGCATGCCGTAACGGTCAAGGATAGGGATGGTTTGGGACGACTTGTGAACTGTTCTATACGAATCAGCAAAACGTCAAAATACCGTCTAAAATACAAAGGGTCTGAAGCGTTTCGAGTGGCTGAAACGATGTCCGTGTGCAAAAGGACTTTTGGATATTTCTGAAGCGGGGCTTCTAGACCACGGCGCTAACACTAAGAACAAGCTACTAAAGTCAACGACTGACAGCATGTGAGCGCTGCATCTCGCGACTCGCATGGGGTGGCGCGAAATTCATGACGGAGACTCGACACTGCAGCGTCTTGTTCCGCACTAGATCTCGCACGCGTTCCAAGACTACAACCAGGACCATGTTGCCATCTCAATGCGCGTGACGATGATCTATCCGGTGAACCACGTTCTCAGGAAGATGATCGATCGGTTAGCAGCGAACATGGACCGCTGGAATGCTACTGACGGCTCCAATAGTGCAAGCGTCTCAGGTTTAGGCTGCTAAACCCGTAGGATACGGTAATATCCGGATCTACACTTCATGACCAGGTTACCCCTCGCGAACCACGACTCGTTTTGAACAGGACGAACCATTTCACCATTGGTGCGACGCGGACGAGTTGGTGGCGACGATCGAGACCAGACCGAGTTAAATGATGATGACCGTGAAGCTGTTCCATCGAACCACTTCAATGGTTGCCATTGCAGGAGATCATGCTGTTACTAGGAAAGATTTCTGTGTGGACGCTTTCATCTAAAAGCCTCGGGTTGGCACGAAGCTTGTTAGCCGCATTTCACCCGATGCTACTGGACGATGTGAAGCCAAGGGACACTGATAAGAATAATGGTGAATAACAGAAGCTGCTCATCGCACTCTGTGATTGTGTCGCGCGAAGTTGGAGTGGGTATTACAGTCCCCTCGGGCTACTCAAACGATGACCTGCGGTGTGATCAGTATAGCCGATGCTGTGTTGGGGGCGTCTATTGTGGCCTGGAGCTCCAAACCTTGCTGCGAGATGTGCTTCAGCAACCGCAGTTCTTGGCTACCAACAAAATGGCCGCTGCCGCGGACTGGAGGCTTCGAGGTGAACCCTCGTCGGATGGAGGTGATGCGTGACTCAAATGGGTGAAGTCTATCGTGTAAGTCACCGTAAATAACGACTCAAAGAAAAGCAAGGATGATAGCGCGTACCCTGTTGTATGGTAATGAGGACAGCATTCCGGAAGTGGTCACGGATTAATTATCAATATAAATCCCTTTGGATACAATTAATCTACACTATCTGGGCAAGACTGATGCCGAGCAAGGTCGATTTCATTGCACCTGATGGTTCCATAGTTGATGTCATGTATGCAAGCATATCGATCTTCTCAACCGAAAACCTGTTTCTTCGCTTTGTATGAATCTGATCAAAAATGCTCCAAGCTCTTTCGCTGGATGCTGATGATGTTGAGATCGCGAAGACGATTTCAGCAATTTTCTTCAGCAACGGATATTTTTTGTTGTTTCATAGCGTTCCAGTAATCCTGAGGACTCGATTCCGAGTTTTTCAGTCGGAGAGTTTTGCCACCAAGTCTTTTACTGCTTTTGAACGCGAGGATCTCTGCTGTTAGCTTTGGAGTACCATTGCGCGACGTGATCACGCCGCATAGCTCCGCCACTTTGGAAATCTGGTCTTCGACTGTATCGTCGTCCGAGCCAACAAAGTCGTCAAGGTTGGTGGTTGGATCCAGCAAAAACGCAATCCCCATAGCATTTGTATGGACGTACTTCCATCGCTTCAGTAGTTTTCGCGAAACACACTTTGAACGTCACGAAGTGGGAGATCGGCAACATTCTCATATTCACCGTTCATGGAAAGACTTTCGGTGGTACCGTCGACGTTATTTTCTTGACTTGCTCCATTATCATCACGAGGATCTTCTTCTTCAGCATCCGACGGCTCAGCATCGAGTTGCGTCCCAGCAGTGGCTGCTTGAACGACCGCATTACCAGATTTCGCCTGTTCAATCTGCCGCTATTGTTCCAGTGATGTGACGCCATAAGCCGCATGATACCGTAGCCATCTAAACCACTTGTACACCGTCAACACGAATGCATTACCCGCTTCTAAGACTCTTAGTGTTGAAATAATTGGATCAAGCAGACGTACAATTGTTCTCAAGTTATTCCAGAATCCATTGTCACGAACCAATGCTGTTATGAAGAGAAGTTTTCTCCTCTGTGCTGCTGTGCCACGATAGCGACTACAGAATTATTCATAGTCCGGACTCAAAAAGAGCTTTTCAAGTATATCCTGGTTGTTCAATACAGTCCGTAGACAAGTAAACACTGAATACCAACGCGTTGGCATCGGCAACACGAGATTTCTTGCTTCCGATCCAAGATCACGCACAACCTGCTGCAAGAACTTGAACTCGTCAAGTAGCGCGAGATGATCCTTCACGAATATTGCCTCAGCTACTGCTCTCAAACGGATTTTGCGAATAGCAGGAAACTTGCACACATCTTGCATCAGCAAATTAAGAACATGTGCTGAGCAGCCACCATTGACGATATTTGGTCTGCGAGAATGAACTTGCCCAGTAGCGCTCCTCATGGTTTTGGCATTGTCCGTAATGATGGACACAACCTGTGCTGATGTTGAACGTTCGATATCTTCGACTACTTTTTCAATTTCACCTGCAAGATAGTCTGCAGTATGCTGTTTAGACCTTGTCGACAATGAGGACCAGAATACCGAGGGCATACCTGGCGCAACTACCAAGAAGTTAATGATGCTGGAACCGTTGGTGTCACTTCAGCCATCCGTGACAAGAGACACATACGCTTGCTCATCAACCATCTTGATAACATCCAACCGCATCTCAGCTTGGACTCATTTCAAGAGTTCTCCCCTCAGCTTGTGTCTCGACGGCACCTTGAACGTAGGTGCCACCAAAGCAAGAAGTTTACGGAACAGAGGAGCGTCTGCGAGCATAAATGACAGGGCACAAACAAAAAATACGCGAGCCAGCGCTATTTCAAAAGCATCCTGACTCAGGGCGATCGTCGATGGCGCAGGAGGAGTTGAAGTACTTGGAGCTGGTTCTTGAGCAGGAGACGGCCGCAGTGAAATTTGTACGTCTTTTGGAACACTAGGGCACAGATTAGGACCGTCAAGTGTTTCAACAATTTACCGCTAGGCTTGCCGTTCTTTTTGAGAGCGCCACAATATCTGCATCGCCCGTGCTTCTTTCCATTCTCTTTCTCAACGAAATAGTGCTGCCAAATGGGGTCAGGTGGGCGTCCAATCTTCATGGGTGACGGATTGATTCGCCGGGCTGAGCCTGGTGATCGATGGGACCGACCTGGGTACTGTGCAGGAGTTGATCTTGGAGTTTGGACTGCCTGCACTTCCGTACTCGTGTGTGAAGACTGACCACCTGGGCTTCTGGTAGCACCTCTGTGATAAGGGCCGAAACGAAGCGTTCGTCTCATCGCCGAACCTGGCGGTGTTGGAAGAGTAGTGGTCCCTGATCGAGGTGTTCGTATTAATGCCGAGTCTGGTGGCGTTGAAATAATAGTTTCCCTTTGTCGAGGCGTTCGAGGTACAGTCGGAGACAATGCTGGTGGTTGAGGGAAATTTTGGATGGTTCGAGGACGGCACATGGCCGTCGGACGGCAGTCGCAGCATGGTCTGCGTCGATTGATTGCTGCAGCCCTTTAGGATCTTTGTCAATGATACGTAAATGGCGTGCCAGACTTTTGGATTGATTTGAATCTTTTGGATAATTTAGAGTTGTGCAAAACGTTTCAGATCATTTAAAAGTTCTTTATGGGCCTGATTCACAACCATCCCTAATCAAGGAGGCGCTGGAAGATCTCGATCAAGTAACGCCAGACGTGTGAGCAACTGATCCGTCGTTGGAAGAAGCTACAAGTGCACTAGAAGCACAAGAAGGGGAAGGTCGACATGGAATTGGGGTCGCCAACCAGGATCAACTACGTTTGAGATGTCTGGATCAAGAAAGATCACCGTCGAAAGGCGGTGGATCCGATCCGTCATCAATGATGAGTGTACAATCTGGGACGGGACATGTGGCCAGTGATCCGTTGAACGACAAGTGCGTCGCGTCTATGTCGCAAAAACGGACATGGATCCACCACCTGTTGTTGAAGATCAACCAGGCGTGTCGGATCTGGACCTCACCTGGGACTCAGATCAAGATTATGATGAATGTGTATACTATCATGGAGGAAGTGATCTGTACGCGGAAGATGTCGACGGTCAGATGACGGTACTGCCTGAAGTGCCCGTGACGACGGAAGATGTGAAGATCGAGGATATTCAGCTATGTGGATCTGATAATCAGACCCCAGAAGAAATTGATCGACTTCGCCAAAGGATCTAGAAGTTCCGGCACCTCTTGATCGGCAAAGGTAATGCCCTGCCGCCGGCCGCCCGGGGTGTTGTATACGACATCGATGTTGGAGGGCGAGGCCTATCGCCCTGAAGTGTCGTACGTTGCGTATTCAGTTCAGGGAGAAGCTGGCGGACTTGATCAAGGGTTTATTATCTGCGAAGATGATCAATTACTCTAGATCACCGTGGGCTTCCCCGATCGTGGTGATCATCAAGAAGAACGGAGTGGATATCACGCTGTGCATCGATTACCGGTTGGTTAACAGTCTAACCCAGCTGATGTTCTACCCGATGCCCTTGATCAACGACTTACTCGAAGATCTGGAGTCGACACTCTGGTTCTGTTCTTTGGATATGGCAAGTGGATTTTGGGTAGTGAAAATGACGGATCGTGCTCGTTTGATCTCGGCGTTTATCACTCCTTTTGGGTTATTTGAGTAGAATCGGATGCCTTTCGGCTTGAAGAATGCGCCCCAGATCTAGGATCGTCCACTCGGGAAGCTTCCAGAGGATCGCGCGGGAGGCGCGCGCTTCACTCGTGCCGATCCGTCAAAGCTCGCCACCAACAGGCTCTCCTCCGGTTCTACGGTTGGGGGAATCATGGCGGTCATCTTCCGGGGTTGCTTCTTCAGGGCTATTGCGATCAGAGCCTCGTCAACTTCTGCTCGAGGAGTGATACTCGCAGCGATCGCCTCTAGGATTTCTTCCTCGCCTTTGGCACACTTCGTGATTTCCAGCGTCCAACCAGACAACAATGCAGCCCACCTGCCCAAACGCCCGCCGTTTACAGTCAAGTCCGGCATGTGTTCAGACATCGCTTCGGGGATCGTCCACTCGGGGAGCTTCCAGAGGATCGCGCTGTATGCGCCTCCCGCACGCCTCACTCGTGCCGATCCGTCGAAGCTCGCCACCAACAGGCTCTCGTCCGGTTCTACGGTTGGGGGAATCATGGCGATCATCTTCCGGGGTTGCTTCTTCGGGGCTATTGCGATCAGGGCCTCTTCAACTTCTGCTCAAAGAGTGATACTCGCAGCGATCGCCCCTAGGATTTCTTCTTCGCCTTTGGAACACTTCGTGACTTCCAGCGTCCAACCGGACAACAATACGGCCCACCTGCCCAGACGCTCGTCTAGCCCATTCGACTTTAGGAGCCAGGCTAGTGTGGAGAAACGCGATAGCACCTTGATCGATCTGGTGACCAACTGCGAGTAGCAGACGTCCAACATACGAAGAAGAACCAGGACCTCCTTATCTACGATCCCATAGTTCAACTCGTGGATCTTCAGCGTCCGACTGGTGAAGGTTACTGGCCAGTACACACCGCCGTGGTCCTGCATTAGTGCCGCCGATTGTTAGCATAGAGGACTATGACTGGTGCCCGTCCCGGATCGAAGTGCTTCAAGATCGGTGTGGAGATGATCTTCGCTTTGAGTATGGTGAACGCATTCATCGCTCTTGTCCAGCGATCACGTTCCTCGTTCGCTGGTGCTGTCCCTTCCTCCGGCTCTCCGGTCGACTTCAACCGTGCGATCTGGTGGTAATCTACCTCCCGCAGCTCGTACAAGATCGCTGCATATACTGCAAAGTCCTCGATGAAGCGGCTGTAATAATTCAGGCTTCCAAGGAACGACTGCATCGACTTCAGCTTGGCGGGGAAAAGGAGATTCGAGAAGGCTTCAAGGTCCTTCGGTTTCGCTTCCAACCCGTCTGTTGATACTTGGTGCCCCAAGTAGATCACTTTGCGCCTGCCCCAGTAGCTTTTGACCACACTGATCGATAGGTTCCAGCGATCTCATACGTCCAGCAGATTTTCGACCTTGTTGCACATGCTGTCCCACGTGTCTCCAGTCACGAGAATGTCGTCGACATACGATCGTCGTCCCAAGATCGACGGTTTGGGTTCTGGTTCGGGCTCTCCCTCCTCGAACACATCGACCGTCTTGTCTTGGCCGGGCTTGATGCGCATGTGCCCATATAGGGCGTTGTCCACGATCCGCTGGTAGATCTGCGGAGCGTTCTTCAGACCGAACGGCATCCTCGCCCACTCGAATAATCCGAATGGCGTGATGAATGCTGAGATCAGTCTCGCCCGCGGTGTCATGGACACGACCTAGAATCCACTCGCCATGTCAAGGGAGCAATACCAAAGCACCTTGTCCA